AATTAAAATTTTCAAGGTCACGCAGCTGTCTTACTTCAAAGCCAATGATCTCAATCATTATGTTACACTGCCTTGACTTGAGTTCTTGATTCCTAAGGTGCCTTCTCTTCATTTTCATCCCTTCTTCCCTTTGCCTGGCACCATCCTATTATCCTTTAAGTCCCATTTCAGGCATCTCTTTTCCCAGTAAGAATTTCACTGATCTCTTTCTTCATGATTCTGTACCCAACTCCCATGAAGGCTGGGTTAGGTGACCTTTTTCTGTGCTTCCATAGCATATCCCTATAAAAGTAACTTGCATGTGTAGGAACCACTGGTTAATGGCCTTGCCTTTGCTACTAGAACATAAATTCAAAGCAGGCAGTAGTCTCATTTTAGTAAACCAAAATGGGCACAGTGAATGGAATGAAGTAATAACTTAATAAATGTTTTAATTGAATTAAACTGAATATTGTTTGAGCACCTCATAGAAATACATTTTTAAAAAGGCCTCAGCAATAAAATAGAGTCCATGGATCACACACTTTATCATGGAAAAACCTCTCAGGCCTTCACATAGACCTATTTACTCTAATTTTACAAGTTTGGCTTTCAAGTTTCTTAGTCTATAGAAAATGAAAGACTGGATAGATAGAATGGAAAATATAAGAAGTTTTGGTAGCACAAAACTAAAGGAGAGAGAAAAACTTTAAAAAAATACGCAAGTGAAAAGGAAAAGCAAAACAAAATCAAATAACAAGCTTCTAGAAATAGCTAATATAGTGCCTTGCACCTTAGTAATCCTTTAAGTACAACAGTGTAAAACAAGTGATGTAAATAATATTGAACCTGAAGACTCAAGCAAAGTTTAAATTATAAAAACTGTTTTAAGAAGAAAAGAATATATGTAACATATTTTATGTTTCCATCCACAATGAATGAATTTGAAGTATTCTAATACTTTAGTTATAATGGTATAAAACTATGGTCATATTTACCAGTTAATGCATAGTGACATTAGGCTAGCCTAAAGAGATATTGATATATATTTCAAATAATTGGTTCAGATTCCCTTACCAACCAGCCACCAAAAAAAAAAAAAGTGGTTAAAAGTGACTATAAATTTATACTACTAAAACTTTAGAAAAGCAGGTATAAACAAATATTAAATATACTTGTGATGCCAAGACACATTCTAATGTGAGTATGTATTAGTATATGATGATCTAATTTAGAGTTAAAATAAAGTTAATGTTTAGGCAAGGTTTCTTATCATAATTCAGGATGAGAGTATTGCCACTAATAATTTATGCAAGTACAAGAACATTGTTTACATATAGAATATGGCTGCTATAAATACAAAAATAAAATTGAATTAAATATGACTTTAATTTTCTATATCAAAATTGAGTACCTTTGTTATTATGCCAACAAATATAACCTTATCTTTCCAACTAACTGTAATCTTTCCAACTTCAAAATGTAAGATACTAAAGTACAGAGAAATGGTTACGTATTTAATTATTTTTTATGTATTGCCAATAAGCACTAGCTTCTGCTTAATAGTTAGTGTGGGGAAAAAAAATTACTGCTGCTTGTAATATGCATGGCCAAAGAGTTCACTATTGTTAAAATGTATGTGTACAATAATCATTTAAATACTCTTAAGAATTTTCAGACTGCCCAAGAACCGTGGAGATGATGCACCCTGTGGTACCAGTGTGTGACCCAGTAGGTAGGCTTTGCCACCGCCACCTGACTCCATCCCCAGCCCGGCCAAGTACGCGCCGACCAGAGAGGCGCCCTGCTGGAGAGGCACAAGATTCGCGGAAACCACGCGCCCTGCAGTGCCAGCATGTGACCCTGCAGGTAGGCCTCACATCTGCCGGAATCCATCCCCAGCCTGGCTGAGTGCGCGCTGACCAGAGAGGTGCCCCGCTGGAGAGGCCTGAGATCTGTGGAGACCACATGCCACACGATGCCAGTGTGTGACCCAGCAGGTAGGCCTCACCACCACTGGACTCCATACCCAGCCCGGCCAAGTGTGCGCCAACCAGAGAGGCACCTCTCCGGAGAGGCCCAAGACCCGAGGTGACCACGCACTTAGGCACATGTGGGCAACCAAGCAGACACTGAGGCAGCTGTGCCAAACTGGCAGCCCCAGCAGCATCCTAGTCAGACAATAGTATCGAACCAGTGGACTGTGAAATCCATTGCCACAATGACTAAACATCAAAGGAAACACACCAGAAATATGAAAAATCAAGGAAGTACACCACCAAAGGATAATAACTCTCAAGCTCTAGATCCTATAGAACAAGAAGTCCTTGCAATGTCTGACAAGGAATTTCGAGTGATAATTCTAAGGAAACTAAATGAGATACAAGAAAACTCAGCTAGACAATGCGATGAAATGAGGAAAAGTATACAGCACCTGAAAGAAGAAGTGTACAAGGAAATCAATGCTCTGAAAAAGAATGCAGCAGAGCTTGCTGAGCTGAAGAATTCATTCAATAAAATAAAAAACACAACAGAGAGTTTAACCAGCAGGCGTGCAGAAGCAGAAGAGAGAACTTCTGACCTTGAAGATGGGCTGTTTGAAATAACACAGACAGACAAAAAAAAAAAAAAAAAAAGAACAGGAAAGAAAAAAAAAATTAAAAACACTGAAGAAAATCTAAGAGAGATATCAGACAACCTTAAGCGCTCAAATATCTGAGTCATGGGTATTCCAGAAGGGGAGGAAAAAGGAGATTGCATTGAAAACATATTCAACAAAGTAGTGGCAGAAAACTTCCCAGCTATAGGAAAAGACACAGATCTTCAGATTCAGGAAGCTCAAAGACCCCCAAATGTATTCAATCCAAAAAGGTCTTTTCCAAGACATGTTATAGTCAAATTGGCAAAACTCAAAGACAAAGAGAATCTTAAAAGCTGTAAGAGAGAAGCATCAAATCACCTATAACGGAGCCCCAATCAGACTTTTTATCACAAACTCTAAAGCAATAAAGGAATGGGATGATATATTCAAAACTCTAAAAGACAGAGATTGCTAGCCAAGAATACTCTACCCCGCAAGGCTATCCTTCCAAAATGAAGGGCAAATTGTATATTTCTCAGACTAAAACTGTGGGAGTTCACGACCACATGACCACCCTTACGATAAATTTTCAAGGGAGTACTTGGTTTGGTATCTGAAAAATAACTACCACTGCCATAAAAACTCAAGAAAAATCAAAACCGACTACTAAAATAAAAATGCCAACAATGAAGAGAAAAAAAATGTTTATCTACAACCCAAGGAACCAACAAATACAGAAGACAAATGGTAAATCAGAAAGAAAGGAACAAAAGACACTTAAGAGATCCAAACAAAAATCAATAAAATGCTAGGAGTAAATCAACACTTTTCAATAACAACTCTTAATGTAAAAGGATTAAATTCTCCAATCAAAAGACACAGACTGGCTGACTGGATTAAAAAGGAGGACTCAACTATATGCTGGTTTCAAGAGACCCACCTCACCTATAAAGATGCACATAGACTAAGAGTGAAAGGATGGAAAAAGATTTACCATGCAATCAAATGAAAAACGAGCTGGAGTAGCTATTCTTACATTTGATAAAATAGACTTTAAACTAAAAACCATAAAAAGAGATAATGAGGGCCACTACATAAAGATAAAAGGATTCATCCATCGGGAAGACATAACAAGCATAAATATATACGCACCCAATGTCGGAGCAGTCATATTTATAAAGAAAACCCTCTTAGACTAAAGAAGGAAATAGACACTAATACCATAATAGCAGGGGACCTGAGCACCCCACTATCAATATTGGACAGATCATCTAGGCAAAGAATCAGCAGAGAAACACAAGATCTAAACAACACTCTAGAGAAAAAGGAACTCTCATACATTTTTCATGGGACTGCAAAATGGGGCAGCCTCTATGGAAAATGACATGGAGGTTCCTCAAGTAATTGCAGACAGATCTACGATATGACCCAGCTATCCCACTGCTGGGAATATACCCAGAGGAAATCCCCAATGTTCATCGCAGCACTCTTTACAATAGCTAAGAGTTGGAACCAGCCAAATGTCCATCATCAGATGAGTGGATATGGAAAATGTGGTATATCTACACAATGGAATACTGCTCTACTATAAAAAAGAATGAAATACTGCCATTTGCAATAACATGGATGGACCTAGAGAGAATTATATTCAGTGAAACGAGTCAGGCACAGAAAGAGAAATATCACATGTTCTCACTTATTTGTGGGAGCTACAAATAAATAAATAAATACACAAATAAACTGTGGGGGAGGGAAGAAGACACAACAATTATAATTCCTTGAAGTTGATATGACAAGAGAACAGATAGGAGGTTACTGGGAGGTAGGGAGGAGAGAGAGGTGGGAGGGAGGAGAGGAAGGTGGGAGGGAGGTTTCGGTAATGGACCAAAATAATCAACCACATTGTATTTGGCAAAATAAAATTAAATTAAAAAAAATTAATCTTATGGTATTAAGTGGAGGAGATGAATACATATACAATATGATCTCAATTTTAATAAAACATAATGTAAAAAATGAAAAGCATAAGAGAGAAGATTAAGAAACAAATCTTTAAGGAAATGTTCCAAAACGTTAACAATGGCTATGACTAATGAGAGGTATTATGAATGATTTTTTATTTTTTTTAATATTTGTATTTTCTGAATTTTATGCGATAAACCACACTACTTTTATAATTTAAGGAGAGAATAAATGTTATAGAATACTAAAAAAAGAAAAGAATTTTAAATTAAGACTCATTTGCAGTATTCATAATAATGGTAATCATATATATGCCTATCAAACAACAAAAAATTAATTATCATTAATGTAGAGGATTCAAACTGTTAATACTTATAATTAGGTAAAAATTTAAACATGTTAACATTAAAGGTTATCCACCTTTCTTGTCCCTGTTTCTTACATATATCCCCGTATTCCCCAAAGTACAAACACGTACCTGTTTCTACAGGTCTTGTATTCTACTTTAAGAATTGGTTTACAAGATTCAGATTTTCTTCCTTCTCTTTGACTTTTTCCTAAGGGAAAGAAAAGGATTTGATTAAGTGTAATTTAAATTCTACTCATCCATGAGAATTTAAAAAATTTGACTAAAAATATGTAAAGAAAAAGGAATAATAATGTAGTTATGTGTTTGTCATAACAGAAAAAACAAATCTACGGATCCTAATATTTTATTGTATTTGTAAATAACTTTTCGACTCCTAACAATTGACTTCTATATTATCAATAAAGTAATCTGTAAAATTATCCAAGTTTTATTGTTTTACATTTACCACATATAAATCTAATTTCACATAAAGTTATTTTAATTATTTTTAAGGACAAAAAAATTTAGAATTGAAGACATATACACATACATGTTTATCTGCATAATGAAATGTATTACTATGAAAATCCATACTAGGTTCAATATTTTATCTATAATACACACAAATTCCTTTCATATACAGAAAGACTTGCCATTTAAGGCATATGATGGGCTGTCAAAATCCTTCCATTTCCATCAAATTCATTTAGAGTAACATCTATCACATAATGAACACACAATACATTTCATGATTTTACAAAATAATTTTAATTTATTCTAGATATATTCTATTTGCACAGAACAAAAATAATAGTTTCTTGTAGAAGAGTTATGCTATTTAGACAGCACAAGATTTTGAGTAAAGGATCAAAAAAGAAGGAAATGAAAGTAAAACCACTTCTGCACATAATATACTTATCTTTCTAGTTATGCTTCTGGTTTAATTGTTTCATTTAGATAAAATTGGCATTTTTTTTGAAATTCTACATTTGTTTCTTTTTTTAGTACCCTTATTTATTCTTGTATTACCACAGTTGTTTATAGACACACATACCTATTATATAGAGAGATGTTTACATGCATATATATTTAAATTTTCAGGATGGCTTCAGAATGGCACAGCCAGATCCAAATAGGATGTCAAGGTAGTTTTATTCAACTTGTTTAAAGGACAAAGAATCAACAAACCATTATCCACTCCATGGCATGCTTTCTAAAATTGCCTTTTGTATTTTTTTTTTTTTTTACTCTATGTTGACTAAAGAAGCAGCCAATAATATAAAATTGGCCTTAGTCACTCACAATGGAAAAAAAAGATGTGTCTGTACCATATATAAAATAGAATTGCTTACATTATATGTTGGTAACAATGCCTTGAGACAAGTTTTGCTCAGAGGCTCACTTTGAACAAAGGTCTTAAGATTGAGAGACAGATGGTTGGAGATTACTGATTTGGGTAATGAAGCGGGAATGGGAATAGAGAGAACTGAAAGAAGTGACACAGCCAGGAGAGAGATCCATTCAGTTTATGTCTTTTTCATACAGTGCTTCACTTGCCAAACTATTAATTGAACAAAAACAGTATATTTGCCATTGTTTATATGGGACCAAATACTATTTTTCAGTCAATACACATCAATATAATATACACTGTATAATATACAAAGTATACAGTAGAACAACATACAGCAGAACATAATAATTACATAATTAATTATTTTAGTTAATATTTTACTTCAATTTCCAACTGCAACAATTTAATTTTGGATGAGAGTTTTCTACTTTGATTGTATTCATTGCCTATTAGTAATTGAAACATACATAAATGTCATATTATGTAAAAAAACATTATCAACAATTACATTTATTGCTATTCCTTATGTTTAGACATTTGTACTAAATGATAGGGTATAAAAAATAACTAAACTTCAAGAGGCTTAGAATACACTAGCTTAAGCAAAACACATATAAAAATGGCAATATGAGGTACCATAAGCAATGAGTGATAAAGAGTTGTAGAAGTTGAGATTAAAGCTGTGGTTTTATGAATAGGCTTATTTGGCTAGATTAAAAGATTCATGTGGGGGAATACTGGAAATAATGCTGAAGAGGTACAAAAGAGCCAATAAATGGAACACTATACAACTGACTTACAACATAGACAATGGAGAGTCACCTGAAGCTTTCAAGTTGGGAAGTGATATGCATAAAGAAATGTTTCAGAAATATTAATATGGCGTCACTGAACACAGCAATTTTGAAGGCATGAGATTAATGCTAGTAAATAGGAGATTATTGCAACAGTGCAGGAAAAAACAGAAAAAGAGAAGGAAAATGAACAGTTTCAAAGAAATGTGGAATACCATTAACTACACCAAGATATGTGTAGTGGAAGTACCATGAAGAGAAGGAAAAAAGGAACAGAAAAATATTGAAAGAAATAATGACTGAAAACTTCCTAAATATGGTGAAAAAACATCACTCTCAAATTTAAGAAGCTCAATAAACTCCTAGTAGAATAACAGCAAATAAATATACACCCAGGTACATATCAGTAAAAATGCTGAAAGCCAAAAAGAAAATCCTAAAAACAGGAAGAGAAAAATGACTCATCATGTACAAGGAATCCCAATAAGATTAACACCTAACTTTCAGAAACAATAGAGGCCAAAAGGCAGTGTGGATGGCATAGTCTAAGTAAATGAAGAAAAAAAAAAAAAAACAAGAATCTTGTGTTGAGCAAAATTATCTTTCAAAAATGAAGGTGACATAAGATATTTCCAGATAAACAAAAACAGAGAATTTGTTGCTAGCAGAGCTATCTTACAAAAAAAAAAAAAAAAAAAAAAAAAAAAAGAATTTTTTGGTAGCGGGGGTATCTTAAAAAAAAAAAAAAAGAATTTTTTGGTAGCGGGGGTATCTTAAAAAAAAAAAAAAAGAATTTTTTGGTAGCGGGGGTATCTTAAAAAAAAAAAAAAATTTTTTGCTAGCAGAGCTTTTTTAAAAAAAAAAAAAAAAAAAAAAAAATACAAAAGGCACTTCTTCAGGCTGAAAGACTGAAAGAAAGCAACGCTAGACAGTAATTTGAATCCACACAAAAAATAAAGTACCGGTAAGGTAACTTTGCATGTAATTATAAAAGACAATATAATTGTATATTTCTTCTCTCTAATCTTCTCTGAACTGATTTTAAAAACAATTGTGTAAAATACTATGTATATATTGTATGGTGGGATCTATAATATGTTTGCCAATAACAACGCAAAGAAGGTGGGTGGGAGCAAAGCTGTATTGAAACAGGGAAAAGATGCTAATTGGTAATTTGAATCCACAGGAACAAATGGAGAGAACTACAAATGATAAGCAAATTCTGTAAATTTACATGTGCTCTACTTGCTTTCGTCAACTTCCTTAAAAGTCATACGATTATATAAAGTAATAATTATAACAATGCATTGTTGGTTTTATAACACATAAATGTAACATGTAAAATAATAACAGGATAAAAAGGGGAAGAGGGAATAGAGCTATATAGGAGTAACATTCTATATCAAACCAAAATTCAGTTAGTATAAATCTGAGGTAGATTCTGACAAATTAGAATGTGTACAGTAAGCAATAAAGCATTCACTAAGAAAACAACTCAAAAAGAGTGAAAAATTCATTAAAAGAATTAAAATGTTACACTAGAAAATATTCACTTAATGTCAAAAAAAGCAATAAAGGAGGACTACAGGAACAAAAAAATGAGACATATAGAAAACAAAAATTTAAATTGAAGTCATCTATTCAACACCATCAACAACAGCACTAAATGTAAATTGATTAAACAATCCAATCAAAGGGAAGAGATGGTCTGTCTAGATTAAAGCAACAAACAAACAATATCCAACTATATGCTGTCTACAGGGGACATGCTTGAGATCAAAAAATATTAAAAAACTAGGTTGAAAGTGAAAGTATAGAAATGGATGTATCATGCAAATGGCAATCATAAGAAAGCTTCAGGTGCTATACTAATACCTAACTAAATAACAAATTGGTTAAACGAAAAAAACCCAAAAATATTTTGAGAAGAATTAAATGAAGATACAACATACCAAAATTTCTGGGATGAAACTTAAGCAGTGCTGAGAGGGAAATTTATAGCAAGAAGCAGCTATATCAAAAAAGAAAAAGATCTTAGTCGATAACCTAACCATCCATGTTAAGATACAGAAAGAAGAAGAGCAAATGTTGAAAGAAGGAAATAATAAAGAGTATAGCAGAAATTAATAGAGTAGAAAAGAGAAAAATAAACTAAAAGTTTGTCCTTTGAACACAGATAAATGAAAAGATGTCCTGTGCTCATGGATTGGAAAAAAATAATATTGTTAAAATATCTATGCTATCCAAAGTGACTTATAGATTCAGTGAAATCCCTATTAATGTTCCAATGAAATACTTTACAAAAATAGAAAAAAAAAATCCTAAAATCCATATGGAACCACAAAAGATACCAAATAGCCAAAGTCATCTTAAGAAAGAAAAACAAAGCTGGAGGCATCACATTTCCTGATTTCAAGATATATTACAAATCTACAGTCATCAAAACTGTATGGTACTGACATAAAAACAGATATATAAACCAATGGAACAGAATAGAGAGCACAGAAATAAATCTATGCATCTACAGTGAACTGACATTTGACAAGGGTGCCAAGAACACACGATGGGAAAGGATAGTTTCCTCGCTAAATTGTGTAGGGAAAACTGGATATCTATATGCAGAAGAGTGAAATTAGACCCTTATCTCATACCATATGCAAAAATCAACTCAAAATGGATTGAAGACTTAAACATAAGACCTGAAACTAAAACTATTAGAAGAAAATAGAGAAAAATCTTCTTGATATTGGTCTGGGCAATTATTTTTTGTATATGATACCAAAAGCACAGGCAACAAAAGCAAAAACAGACAAGTGGGATTGCATCAAATTAAAAAGCTTCTGCACAATAAAGGAAACAATGAATAGAGTGAAAAGGCAATGTACAGAATGGGAGAAGATACAGTATTCAAAAACCTTATGTATGATAAGTCGTTAATATCTAAATTATATAAGGATCTCAAATAACTTAGTAGCCAAAAACCAAGCAACCTAACTTAAAAAATGGGCAAAAGACTTGAATAGACATTTCTCAAAGATGACGTAGAAGGGGCCAAGAGGT